TATGGAAAAAATCATATATATGAATAGCGGTGAGTCGTTTCCCACAGCTTGACACATCAACATTTTAGATGAATTTTCAAATGACAAACCAACTTAATATTTAAACCACAAAATAATCATTATTTCTGTTAATGCATTTGGATAATATGAGAAGTCTTTTTATTTATATATTAAATTTGCAAAACTGAATTAATTTATTTACAAATAATAAAATTAATATTGAAAAATTACATTTGAAATCAAGAATATTTGAAATATTATAAAATCAGAGAAAACTACGTCATGTCAAAGTAGAAGATAAAAAGATAAAATTTGACAAAAATATTGGTAAAAGCATATAAATCAACTTTGTCGGATCTACGAAGCTCTGGTGATAAATATATAAAATAATATTGGATAACTATGTTTGATCGATACCTATAAAATGATAGAGTTCTCCTAAAAATAGCATATAGTATTATAAATTAACTAATAACATAAATTATATGCTAATATAGCTTTATACAGAAACTTAATAAGAAAACAAAATTGCTATATTTCGAAATAATATATTTCTCAAATATTCATTATTTAAGAAAGATTTTATAAGTATAAAATTTAAATATAAATACTTTATTGATTTAACAAAATATATTTTAGAAAAAACTTGGGCATATGGGCATTACAAGTCTAGTATTTCTAGTAAATTGCAAAATAGATTCATTATTCTTCTTCATTCGTGTGTTACTAGTTAAATATGTACTAGGTGTGTTGTCTGTGCTCTGCGCAGGCCAAACAATTTTTAATTAACTCTGTAACAAATATAATATTAATTACGAACCAAATCAAATTCCAAAAATAAAATAAAAATATATATATATTGTTTAAGAAAACTAAAAGAAGTTTCGAGAATATGATACAACCTAAGGTTCAAAAAAATTATATATATATATAACCTCAATGGATTCAATGCTGGTTTCGTATAGATTACCATGAACATAAGTGAACTCGAAAAACTTCCCGCCAATAGATTTCCACTCTTAATTATTAACATATTTTGTAGTATATCTATCTCAACATCCGCAATATTGAACTAACTGATCTTTCTGTTACATATATCTATATACAAAATTAATACTTATGTCTATTATGTTCTTTCTAATTGATATTAGTATTAAAAAAAAAAAACTTGCTTTCAGTCTCTCTCATGTTCATCACAAAGCGATTTTGTATTATTTTTATATTATCTGCCTCTAACAAATCAGGATCAAGCATAAAGCTTGAAAATACACAAACATAATCTGCAATATGATATTCATCTACTCAAACATTGTTTTAAAAGTATTTTGTTGCTTATTCTCTTAGAAACTAAACATAATAGATATGAAAAAAAACTAATATCTCTTCACTCTTTATCTCTCTTTCTTGTTCTTAATACGCAATCCACTGAAACAATGCTTTGAGCATCGAGCTTTATTATTTCCACTCTCCCTCTTTCTCTCCTTTTAATTCCCCCTACCTATTTCTCTCTCTCTCTCTCTCTCTCTCTCTCTCTCTCTCTCTCTCTCTCTCTCTCTCTCTCTCTCTCTCTCTCTCTCTCTCTCTCTCTCTCTCTCTCTCTCTCTCTCTCTCTCTCTCTCTCTCTCTCAGTAGTATTCTTGATCACTCACTCTCACGATTCATATTCTTGATCTACAAAAATATGTGACCGAAACTTTAACACATTTCATGATATCTCTAATTGTTATATCCAAAGTCTTAAGACAGTGTTTGTAAAACCATCCCTAGCTTCACTTCGGTTGGATCCATCTCTGCGATTGCCTAAAACACCTGATCCAGAACAGAAAATCACTGAAAGGCTTAAAGTACTGAATATACAACTTTAGTAAAAGAGAAGTAAGATCGCTTCTTCAAATCCCGTTATGACTAATGAACATGGTATGTGAACGTTTCACATATCCGGAGACATCTCGACGTTATTCTTTTATTAAACTTGTTTTAGAATTTACAGACAAAATCCCAATCTTTAAGAAATTAAGTAAATACTACCCAATCATTTTTCTGATATAATTTATTATTTAAAACAGATATAAAATTTTAGTGACTTTTTTCCAAACCTAGTTTATAACAATGCGACTGGGTTATATTTACCAACCACGATATTGAATTCTAACACACACACACTACATATTTTAAATCCATACATCAACTCTAACATTTACAAAATAAATGAGTTCATCGAGTGAAACATATAATGAATATTTTAATCTCTTGTTTTTTTACTGTGGCCTCTTCTTAGACAACCAACACATTAAATGGGTATTTTAATTGCATCAACTAAGTCTATGTAAAACTTACGAAATATATAACTTTATTAAATAAAAAAATCAAAACAAATATATAGAAGCAATATTGTAACAATCGTACAAAAAGCGACACTTTAAAACTAAACAGAATAACTAAAATCAGTCAACATGATCTGATACAAAATCATAAACAGCATTCTAAAGTCCAAGAGGTTCTACAACATCACCAGAATAGGGAAAGATCCAAATCTACACTCGCAATGCCTCCTCCAATGCCCATCCACTCGCCTCCATAATAGCACAAACGGCCACGATCATCAGACCCCAATCCTAAACCAAAAAGTTTTTCTTATTATAGTTGTTGTTCTCTTTCTTTTTTTCACACACAAATCAGCATTCGACTTGCATTTGTTTAAGAAATGTTGAGACCAACATTTGAATAAAACGATGACAGATACCGTTTTTAATCAAGTTTTCTTCTTGGTCATGGAACACATTTAAGTTACCAAAAGGCTTCATAAATCAATAATGTTTTAGATACAAAAGCCATCTAATGATATACATTAGTTCTGCAGGAGTATTACTTTCTCCTCATCCCATCATTACCATGAAAGCAAAAGAAAAGCAATACTGAGAGCATTGTCCATTCTTGTTGTTCTTCTTCTTGTTCATAATCTCGTTTTCCACTCGCAATATACTAATCTGCTATTGAACAAAAATTTAATCGACACTTTTGCCTTCGTCATGTAAAGCTCATATGTCTCTCTCCACAGCCACGAGTTGCTTCTCCTTCTCATATCGTTGATCAGCTTGGTAAAGGAAATGTTAGGCACTATTATAGCAACTGGTTCTGGTTCGTCCACCTCCAGCGTGGTTGCAATAGGAGATAAAGTATCGCTGGTTGTTGCTGGGAGGAACAATGGTTCTAAATAGTTTTGCTTGAGTTCTTGTAGTTTATAACAGTGTCGAATAGTCGCTTGTCTTTGTACAGGATGAGAGGAAGTGAAGCTTCTTTGTTGAGGACATAGAGAGGAAGACATTTTCTCTCAAACTCTCTAAAACTCTCGAGGGGACTCGTAAAGCTATGAAGCTGGACATAAAGCATAAATTGTCAAAATTTGTATTTAGAATTTTATTTATCTGAAATATAGTTAAACCATACAGAATGCTGAGAAAAAAAAATAGCCAAAACGCAGCAAACAAAACAAAGAGGAACTTTAAAATGACTAATACCCCAACTAACTCTTTGAATAGGACTGTACTCTTTAAATAGGATAGTATGAAGAAGTACCAAATTGTTGTATCACGTTATTTTCAAAAATCCATGGCTACTCTATGAGCATTTCTACAAATATGCATTACATGCTTCATATAACAATCACTATTATAACAGAGCAGGAACATGAAAATACAATTTCAGATTATGACATGCATTGTAAAAATTAAAACATGTAACTTATGCAGGAAGAAAATAGATATCTGGATTTTACTTAGGAAAGAAAGAATCAGATGTGATTTTTTGCTGAATATCTTTGCATCTTCAGGCGAAGTCACTTCTGTCACTGACCCTTCTGCACTTTTCATCTCATGCACATCTTTCATCTTATTCTTATCTTTTTTCCTGCTTTTTAGACTCCATCCACTAGAAACATACGTGCCTTTTGTATTTGTTGGAGAGAGAGGGACAGAGACAGAAAGAGTATGCACTTGATTTTCTTTCTCTATGTACCTTTAAACAAAACAAAAAAAAAATCAGACTTATATCAAATAAAACAAAAATAAGCCTCATCAGTAAAAATATATTGTGTTCATCTTTGTCTGGGTCAAAAGGACCAATCAATCAAATTACAACACCCGTGTCTCGTATTGACATCGATCCGCAAATTATTACATGTGTAACCAGTATGCACGTGAAGCACATGTATGTATAGATTCTTGTATTGACATGAGAAGGAAAAGTCTGACAGGTCACAAGAGGTCCAAGACTTTTTGTGAATGTCAAAGATAATATGACTACTATTTGCGTGAGAGTTTGTGAAAACACACTTACATTTGCAGACACTGCACTGTCTTCTACTCTATCCTCACTCCACTATTTGTCATTCGGATATCATTAAGTTATTGTCTCTATTTATTATCTTTATATTTATTGTTCTCGACATTGAAACGTATATATATGCAAATTAAACAAAAAAAGTCATATCGTTAAATTTTGGATTCTGGTGGTTGATAAAGTATATCCGAATGCGGTAAAACTTTTTCGTAAGGAAACAAACATAAAATAATGGGACCTAGAATCCCCTCAATAAAACCATGAATCGATCTTTTGCTCCCTTATGAATTACAAACTCATAAACATTAAAATGCTGTCATAGTGCCAACACATACCGATCTAACTCAAACAAGAATTCCTCCGATCTAGAATTCGTTGGACTGATATAATTTTAAATTAATTTTGCAGTGGATTATATCGATATAAATAACCATAATCATTATTTTTAAAAAGGGATGTGTTAGAATTTTTAAGCAAGAATAAAGAATGAAACCAATTCATAGATAAGTAGTATCCAGCGGAAGGTGAACTAATACCATAGATTCCACACAGATAAAGCTTATTTATAAATTGAGAGAGAAATTGTATGCAGAATGATCGAAAACTAAACTCAAATATGCTAAGACAGGTGTGAATACCTCAAGGGTTTAGGCTTACAAGAGTTATACTTCAGTGTCTCGAGGACAGTAGCGAACCATGCATTGATTCTCTTTTGTCTGGTTACCATGTGAAGGATCATTGGCTTCAAATGTGATGTAGAGCGTAATCGCAAAAGATGGATGATAATTTGCCCTCAGAACCCTCACAAGTTCCAGGCCTGTTTTCTACCACCCACCGTTTACAAATAAAATACAAAACATAAACAGATTCATCAGCACCAAAAATTCTCTCTCTTGTTTTTTGTTTTTCAATTCCTGAGAAAATAACCCCGTGTTCTTTGTAGAAGGAGATAGCCATATTGCACAAACGGTTGAGAAAATCTCTGCCGGTTCCAGGCTCGCCATACCAGCCATCTTCGTCGTCGGGATCCACAAATCCGGAACCAAATGTGTGACGGAGTTTCGAGAAGTCGACATCAAAACCCTGACATATCACATATCCATCATTCAGAAATTAAAATTGATCAATCAAACATGAGAGAAATCGAAATCGAGAACCCTCCTAACCCCGCTCTTCGCCCACTCTTCTTCATACAGTCGAAAGTCATCTGACAAAGTTTCCCAATCATCAGAATCATATTCTTCATTGGTTGGTGGCTCTGCCTCCTCTAGAATGTGGCCTCTAGGTCCCTGGTACACAAGCTGTCCCTTCGACAATAGGATTATATCGTCGAATAGATCAAACGTCTCAGGAGCAGGCTGAAGAAGAGATATGAGAACGGTGGCTTCAGTGAGGTGAACGATCTGTTGCAGACATTTCACGATTTGGAAAGTCGTGGAGCTGTCAAGCCCGGTGGATATCTCATCCATGAACAGAGGCTTAGTTGGCCCGACGATCATCTCGCCGGTTGTCACACGTTTCTTCTGACCTCCTGAAATTCCTCTCATCATGTCATCTCCAACTATAGTGTCCTTGCAAATGTCAAGCCCTAGAATCTGTTTCATCAAACGTTGTCCACAAGAAACTTCATAAGTATTCAATATAGCATAATCTGACTACTACAAGAATTAACTGCTAAGCTGAACAATCATAAAGGATTAAAAAAGGGATTTAAGGTTGAAAGAGGCTGACTTTGAGAGTGTAATCAGTGATGAGACTACTCTTGACGCCTTGAGCAGCAGAGGCCTTCATGAACAAATCAACATCTGCTTCCGGAAAAATCCTAGCGTCTTTTTCTCTCCTTGCCAGCAAATTTAGAAGATCTACCATCAGTTACAAAATGAGATTTATTCATTCGCCAGATATAAAATATACATCGGATTAAAAAAGAATGTTTAGTTGTAAGAGATTATACCATAACGGGTACTAATGCCTTGACATCTAGCAGAGAAATCAATCCTTTACGGTCATGATACCAATATGAAAATCGTTTTGGCTAATGTAAGCAGAGGTCTTGATGGGAACAAACTCGTTGAGACGGTAACCATTGTAAGTTACTTCTCCAGAGATGTCAAGAGACTTGTAAGTTTTCCGGCAAGAGCCAGCAAAAGCGTTGTCTTCCCTGAAGAGGGAGGACCCAACAAGAGCGTCATCCTCGAAGGTTTCACGATCCCAGAAACACAAATCATTATTCATAGCAGACGCCAAGGCTATTTACCGAGGGCTCATAACTCCTCTTTTTGCATGAACTATAATATGCATGAACTAAAAGAAATTCTATATGAACAAAACTAAACCTACCACTGGAAGAAAAATAAAAAATGGCAGGGTTACATTATTTATAGGAAAATATATTTAGAGTTTACACGGAATAATTTAAGGTTTACAACAAATAATTTTGTGAATTACGGCCTAAAATCAGAATCAAAATCATTAACATCAAACCGAAAATTAGATTACGGTTTTTATTAAGAGTATAATTGGAAAAAAGACTACTAAAGTATGCTGAGAGTACGTAGGAAATATACTTTCAAATAATAGTATAGATAGCCTTGACTACAGATCAAATTTTCATCGGTTATCAAAGAAAAAAACAAAGAGTTTTACATCGATCTTGATGCGTAAGGATATATAAATGTATCGTGATAAACGTTCAAAAAGATTCCTATTTGAACACTTCAAGGCATGGTCATACACAATATCTGTTCTTTTGGCAACATCTTGCCAACTATAGAGCTTCTTCATCTATATAGCAGCAACAAGCAAGAAGAGAATATCAAAGGAGTTCTTAACTCTAAATATAGAATTTCAAACAGAAACTCACTCAATTGTGCATCTCCTCGGGGTTAATACTCGGGAGGATTGATATCGCCTTCTCTATTGCTCGTACCATATCATTCAGCAAGTACAACCATGTCATCTGGTAATACCTATACAAAATCGTGAAGAGAAAACCTGATTTTATCGATCTTGAAGAGAGACACAATGAGAAGTGAAGCAAAAGGGCAAAGAACGTATGTTACAAGCCTCAGGGACACCTCCAACACGGGTGATGACTGTTAATAATCTGCAACTAGCAGCTTCTAGTATAGCTATGCAGAAAGCTGTTAAAGAACTGTCTGATGATCAAGACTGTTGTAAAGATGAAACATTTTGTGAATTTTAATAAAGTACACACAGATAAAAAGTGTAAAGAATCTCATCACACCTGTTTAGGAAGATATGACCTGTTACCAAAACAGAGCGCACGCGAGAATGCAGCATTGCACCTAACATTTCGACTCTATCTTGAAGAGAATGCTTCTCTCTCATTTCTTCTAGTCTTGCATGTTTTGGTCCATCTCCTCCAACCACAAACCGAACCTTTGAAAAAAGCCAAAGAAGAAACTAAATGCGGATACCAAAGAGACACAGATACCAAAGAGACAAAGAGGATTACTGATAGATTTTTAAACTCACATTGGGGTATAAACGGCATACTTCCGGAATGACTTCAACGAGCAAATCAGCGCCTTTCCCATAAACCAATCTACTTATGACAACTATATTGATGACATCGGAAACGTGGTCTGCATGACGAATGGTCTCCAAGGTACATAATACCGGTCATGTATCGAACTCCATAGCGGTTCCCATAGGCATGTGTGATTACCACCACCTGCAAAAAAAGCTCAACATAATGCTCGGAAGAAACTAAATGGCTTAAGCGATGTTTCCCATAAAGACGGCAAAAAGACAAAAGGTAGAGAACATTGCAAATTTTGGCTTAAGCTCCATGTCAGTAATAGGTTTATGAATCAAGTTAGTGGATTAGTAAGATTCTATCACATTTTGGCTTGAGAATTTGATTTCACCAAAGCTAAATACACAATAAAAGAGCATTTGAATCTGAAGCTGACCTTGTGTCCGAGCTTTAACAAGCATTGAGAGAGATAATAGATGTGATTCTCCACACCACTGAAGTTTGGGAAGAAGAAATCAGAGGCCATTAAAACCCTAAGCTTCAGTTCCGCCATGGATACTCCTCAGTCACAAAATTCTGAAAGTACAATACGATGTTTTACAAGAGAAGTTAAGAATTTTTTTGACAAAGAAAAATGGAGAAAGATTGGATTTTTATGATACATATATAGAGATAAAAGTATCGAAAATGAAAACCTATGCAAGAGATAACAGAACCTACTTTTGGGATTAAAGCAGAGTGAAAGAAAGGCTTCGATTATATAAGTCTCATTGTGGCATTTAATCAAACAACGAAAGGGCATAACCACGATCTTCCATAAAGAGCTAAACAACCGAAGCGAGTACCATTATCCGTCAGATTTTTAAGATTACGAAAACGAGAGAGGACAATCGAGCACAAATGGGAATCATCAGAATCAAAAACAGAAACAGAATCCGAGAAAGTGATTAAAAAAATGAAATTTAATATAATTCAAACTGAGGGAGAAACAAAAGGTTACAGTTTCAGAAGAATGTTGATGACAGGAGTGAGTGTATCGGCTCTAGTCGCGTCTTCAGTTTATGAATCTTATGCTGTTTTTGGGATTTTGGATCATCGGTTCATGAAATGGTTGGATTCCGGTTGGTATAAAACCTAACCGAGTGATATCTCCGATACGAATGTTTTAAATCAAGTCGCCGTCGCTGGTCGCGAGACGAACAATCTTCGTTAAACGAGGAAATCAGCGCATTTTCGATAAACCAATCTACTTATCACAACTATAGTGATGACAGAAGCGGGCTTGAACATACCGGCATCAACAACATTAGCTATCATGAAAACCTTTGCTGGAGACTATCAATTGTATATACTCGGTTTAGATCCGGTTTACTTGTATAGCTTAATGCCGGTTAAGTGATTTATGATTTAGTGTAGAATACATGTATATATACAACAATGTATGATCATCCAAATGTATGATCATCCTTTTTTTGGGAAAGTGAATAACAATTTACATTTCATCTTCAATGAATTCTGTTACACTAATATGGTATTAGAGCAATCTTTACTCATCTCTCTGATTTCGATCATTTTCACTTGATTTTTCTTCAGATATCTTTCGTTTTTTCCATTTGTTTGTTGGATCGAGCTCAGATCTGTGTAAGCTTCGTTTTGCTCGCGATAGCTTCGTCTTTGGCTCAATCGATTTTCTGCAATTCGTCTTCAACAATGGTTAAACAAGGAAGAAAATTGAGGAATCGCACATCTCCTTCTGATATTGATGAAGAGGATGCATCGGGAACGAAGAATCATGGTCGATCCTCTCAATCCGCTGAACCTGAGGCCATCATGACTTCTTCTCTGGCTTACTCGGACAAACGTCGTAACAATGGAGCGATTTCTGGCGGAATCGAAGCCTTTGATAACGCGCATAGTCCGTTCTTTCTCCATTCTGCGGATCATCCAGGTCTTTCCATTGTCACACATACTCTTGATGGAACGAATTACAAAAACTGGTATATAGCGATGAGGATTAGCTTAGATGCAAAGAACAAGCTAGCTTTCGTTGATGGATCCCTTCCTAGACCAGATGTGAATATTCTATGTTCAAAATATGGAGTAGATGCAATAGTATGGTCAAAGCTTAGGTGATGAATGTCGTGAATCAGGAAATCTATGATAGCATTCTGTATTACGAAGATGCGTCTGAGATGTGGAATGATCTGTATCATCGTTTCCGTGTTAGCAACTTACCACGGAAATATCAGCTTGAACAATCAATCTCTACTCTCAAACAAGGATCATTGGAGCTATCTGCATATTATACTAAGAAGAAGACTCTCTGGGAGCAGCTGGCAAATACAAGGTCTCACACAGCGAAGAAATGCGATTGTGTTTTTGCCAAAGAGCTGTTGGAAGAAGCTGAAACAAGCAGGATTATTCAGTTTTTGATGGGACTCAATGACAAATTTGCTATCATTCGGGGTCAAATCTTAAACATGAAACCACGTCCAGGCTTATCAGACATCTACAACATGTTAGACCAAGATGAGAGTCAATGAATGGTTGGTTATGCAGACCGTGGAATCACGACTCCTCCTTCTGCATTTCAGGTTCAAGAATCTGGTCTATCCGATTCTCCACAAGCAATGCTAGCTCAAGGTGGATACAAGAAACCTAAATGCTCACACTGCTCTAAGATGGGACATACAGTTGACAAATGCTATAAACTTCACGGCTTTCCTCCAGGACATCCGAAAGGGAAACCTCCTACTTCTATGGGAACTGCCAACCTTACTACATCAAACACCATGTCTCCACATTCTTCTGAGCAGCAGATAGAGCAAAACTTTGAGAATCTTACTAAGGATCAGATTCAGACCATGATTTCGTACTTTGGTACTAAGCTTTACACTCCGGGTATCACGACTACACCTGACAAGTCCAATGCTTCGCCTTCAACCTCTGCACCTGTGATCTCCTCGGTTTCAGGTACTTTCCTTGATCTATTCAACCACTCTTATTATGACATGCTCATTTCATCTATCTCTAAGGAACCAAATGTGTCTCTTAGAGCTTGGGTTATAGATTCAGGGGCGACTCACCATGTAACGCATTGTAGAGAGCTTTTCACAGATTACAAACCTCTAGATAGAACCTTTGTCACTCTTCCTAATGGGTATACTGTTAGAATAATGGGCATAGGATTCATTCAACTTACTGGTGCTATCTCTCTATTCAATGTGCTTTACATACCTGAGTTTAAGTTCAACTTGCTAAGTGTTAGTGTCTTGACTAAATCTTTGAATTCTAAAGTGAGTTATACGGCTGATGCATGTTTCATTCATGTAATTACTCGGGAATTGATGATTGGTCAAGGTAGTTAAGTCGGGAACTTATATGTGCTTAATTTTGATAATGCAAATAAAACCGTCTCTTTGTCAGACATTTCAGGTATTTCTCATACTTGTGCTAGTTTTCGTGTTGATCTTGTTACTTGGCATAAACGTTTAGGTCATCCTTCTATGACTAAACTTGATTTTCTTTCCAATGTATTGAACTTGAAAATGGTTCCTCATAATAAAGATACTCTTGATGTTTGTCATGTTTGTCATTTGTCCAAACAGAAACATATCCCATTTAAATCTCGTAACAATATCTGCGCTTCTTCTTTGGAATTGGTTTATATTGATACATGGGGTCCGTTTTCTGTGCCTACTGTTGATGGTCATAAGTACTTCCTCACTATTGTTGATGATTTCAGTAGAGCTAGATAGATTTATTTGCTGCATAATAAATCTGACGTCTTACATGTTTTTCCTGCATTCATACAACTGGTTGAGAATCAATATAATACTAAAGTCAAAGCCATTAGATCTGATAATGCTCATGAATTGAAATTCACTGAATTGTTTGCTTCCAAAGACATCATTGCTTTCCATTCTTGTCCTGAGACACCTGAACAGAACTCTGTGGTAGAGAGAAAGCACCAGCACATTTTGAATGTAGCTAGAGCCCTTTTGTTTCAATCTCAAGTTCCATTAGAGTTTTGGGGGGGTTGGGGTTGGGGGGTTGGGGGGGGGGGGGGGGATTGTGTTCTCACGACTGTGTTTCTTATAAATAGATTACCTTCCCCAGTCCTTGATAACAAGTCTCCTTTTGAGAAACTAACTAGCAAAGTCCCTGATTATCAGTCTTTGAAAACTTTTGGGTGCTTATGTTATTGTTCCACTTCACCAAAGGGTAGAACTAAGTTTGATGCTCGGGCTAGGGCTTGCGTTTTCCTAGGATATCCTAGTGGCTATAAGGGTTACAAGCTATTAGATATAGAGACACATTCGATTTCTATTTCCAGATATGTCATCTTTCATGAGGATATTTTCCCTTTTGTCACATCACATATGCAAGATGCTACAAAAGATTTCTTTCCTCTATTTCATTCTCCTGCTTCCCCTAATGGTCCTCAGCCTCTCGTGCAACCATCTTCTGATGCACATCCTCATTCTGATGTGTCATCTTCTGAGATCTTGATTCCTTCTGAAACAAGAACTCGCAGACAAATCCAACTCCCTAAACACTTGCAGGAATATCATTGCTATAATAATACTCTTACTAATATAACTACTCCTTATCCAATCACAAATTATATCTCTTATTCATACCTATTTGTCCCTTTCTGTGCTTTCCTAAATGTTCTTAATAACACCCCCATCCCCGAAAAGTATTCAGAAGCCAATGATCTACAGGTGTACCGTGATGCAATGGGTGTAGAGATGGGTGCTATGCAATGAACTAATACTTGATCAATCTGTGATCTTCATCCTGATAAGGTCGATATTGGTTGCAAGTGGATATACACAGTCAAATATCATGCAGATGGTACTATTGAGAGATATAAAGCAAGATTAATTGCTAAAGGTTACACCCAACAAGAGTGAATTGATTTCCTGGATACATTCTCTCCGGTTGCTAAACTCGCTACAGTCAAACTACTCTTGGGGCTTGCACCAAATATGAATTGGTCTCTTACTCAACTTGATGTTTCTAATGCCTTCCTCAACGGCGATCTAGACGAAGAAATTTACATGAATTTACCTCTCGGCTATGCTGAGCTTAAGGGGGATTCTGTATCACCGAATGCTGTTTGTCGCTTATGGAAATCTATTTATGGCCTTAAACAAGCTTCAAGACAGTGGTTTCTCAAGTTTTCTTCTACGTTAACAAATCTGGGGTTTGAGAAGTGCATTGGAGATCACACGCTGTTTGTTAAGGAGACTGGGTGGAAAATTCCTCGTTATCTTGGTCTACGTGGATGACATTATGATTGCAAGCACTGATGATGCTGCTGTTCAAGAATTGAAGATTCAACTGGATTCTCAATTCAAATTACGTGATCTAGGTCCTCCTAAGTTCTTCCTTGGTCTTGAGATAGCTCGTTCTGCTGAAGGTATCTCCGTTAATCAGCGGAAGTATGTCTTAGACTTGTTAGGATCCAGTGGCTTCTCTGGCTGTAAGACTTCTGCTATTCCAATGGAACCGAATCAAAAGCTTTCAAAGTCTGAAGGATCGGTGATTGATAATCCTAAACAGTATCGGAAGTTGGTTGGGAAATTGCAATACCTTACCATTACTCGCCCTGATATCTGTTTTGCAGTTTCTAAACTAGCTCAATACTCTTCTGATCCTCGAGAACCTCATCTCCAAGCAGTTCATAAAGTTCTTCGTTACCTTAAAGGTACTATTGGTCAGGGACTGTTTTATGCTGCAGATCAGAACTTTGATCTTCGTGGTTATGCTGACTCTGATTGGGGAGCATGCTTGGACACTCGACGGTCTGTCACTGGATATGCTATGTTTATTGGAAACTCCTTGATCTCTTGGAAGTCTAAGAAACAGGATACTGGGGGGGGGGGGGGGGGGGGGGGGGGGGGGGGGGGGGGGGGGGGGGGGGGGGGGGGGGGGGGGGGGGGGGGGGGGGGGGGGGGGGGGGGGGGGGGGGGGGGGGGGGGGATTGTGTTCTCACGACTGTGTTTCTTATAAATAGATTACCTTCCCCAGTCCTTGACAACAAGTCTCCTTTTGAGAAACTAACTAGCAAAGTCCCTGATTATCAGTCTTTGAAAACTTTTGGGTGCTTATGTTATTGTTCCACTTCACCAAAGGGTAGAACTAAGTTTGATGCTCGGGCTAGGGCTTGCGTTTTCCTAGGATATCTTAGTGGCTATAAGGGTTACAAGCTATTAGATATAGAGACACATTCGATTTCTATTTCCAGATATGTCATCTTTCATGAGGATATTTTCCCTTTTGTCACATC